AGCAAAAATTGAACTTTAGAAATTGCTCAAAAGAATATTTGCTGTTTGATAGAAGTTTAATGAACCAATCAGGTGGTAAGTATGTTGTAGATGGCATCAAATGTTGAAGAATATGGTAGATATTATGATGTCAAGGATGACACGATACATTAGAAAGGAATGTAGAGAGATATGTGTGAAGTAATGTTTACCAGAAGACATTTATGTCAACAATTGTATATCCATCATCTCTGCTTCTTTTGATTATAGTAAATTATAATTATCGAATTGATTGTCTACACAAGTAAACTTACAGAATCCAAAGTGATGAACCAAAAAAGAAGTCCATAATTTATTTCTGTCAAAGTTATTCCTCATAGTTTTTATGTTATACCTAAATTAAAATATAAATGAATTAATGTTCAGTGTTTTTCTTTTAGCTACCAAAGATTTTAGCCATGTTTAAATTTAAAAGTTAAAATCTTTTCTTAGTATGATCCAAATTTCTTCAAAATTCACGCAGTATTTGCTTTTCATATGAAATATTAGAAGATTTTTGATGTGAAAAAACTTGATTTTAATTTGGATTACTTACCAATTATTAATATATGATAGTACATCATCTATTACTCTATGATAGTTATTGTTGCGTAATTACAATTGCAATTAAAGATGTAAGGTGTGAAACAACATTAAATAATAATACAACACTAAATAAATGCTATATAATTAAATTATTCAATTATACATTATCATCTTAAATGCTGAGTAATATTTATTTTAACGAAAAATAATAAAAAACATTTGTGTGTATTCGTTCAATTTGCACTAAAAAATGATTTATTTTATAAGTTATTCGATATATAAGTTATGTGTATATAACATGTTTATACACTTATTATCTAGCATTAAAATTTCATCAGAACAGTCAAGAGATCAGTTAGCAAGAAGAGAGATCAGTTATCAGCTAATAGATATAAAATATTTTATGAAGAAATGAAAACCTATTCCTTTCAAAATTTCCTACGCACAGTTTTATTTTCCTTATTTTATCGTTTAAATTACTTTTCGATAATTTTTATTGATCTCTTTTTCAATTATCCAAACGATAAATCTCAAAAAAAGTTTGTATTTTTTAATTTTCATCCGCTTGTTTTTTCGAGTGTAAATTCAATCTGTCAAGCACAAACATTGCTGTACAAATGAAAGAACAAATGTTTTGATTAATAAATGAGTTTAATCCACGAATGAATTGGTACGGTGCTAAGTGCTAAAGCAAAAATATTAATTCGTTGCTATTGCAAATGATGAATTAAGCGCAAATGCAAGCGGATATTAATGCTCTGATGTTCACAAAGGTTGATAAGGATGGTAACAATCTTGATTGCATGAAACTTGGAGGGAAAGATGGGCATATAAATGATGATAAATGATAATTTTGTTTAATAATTGAGCAAGAATGATATATAACTGAAGTTGACATCAAAATTGCATTTTTTTTTTCACTATTTCACTACAAAAAAGAGGATATTCTGTTTAAAAAAAAAAGAAAAAAAATATTGACTAGTCTTAGCACTTATCACTAATAGATGCTACTGCTCCAATGTTTTATAAATATACAAAAAATTAGTGAAAAAGAAAAAATCTTCCTATCACTTCATTACATACGTGATAATAATGCTATACTTTCAAGAAAGTCGTATAAAGTTCGCGAAATTATCCCATTATTATCTATTTTGTTAGAATGATTCTAACATTTTGAGGGTTACATTAAGTGACCTTTTTTACATCATCTTTTGTTCTATCATTAAATTATAGTTACAGGTGTATGATTGTAACGACAATGATACCAGCTTACATGGGTGAAGTTAAAAGTGATGGTAGCAATCATCTTTATTTCTCATATCCAACACCAGTAGCTACCAATATGGTACCGGCTAATTTTACCGCTTATAGTATGTCAATACCGTCACCATATGAAACCGCAACTGTTGTTAATATCGCAAAACAGCAAGAAGAAAATTTTCCAACTATCGTTTCCGTTCCCTCAACATCATCTGCCGTAACATCCGCTTCAACTTCAATACTACCACCACCACCACCATCACTACCACCACCACCACCAGCACCACCACCACAACAGCAATCAGAAGAACAGCAACAACGATTACAACAACGTAGATCTGTCGTTCCAGTGGATGAAGAAGCTCGTAAAAAGTAATAAAAAAATTAAATTTGCAAATCAACTTTGCCGATATCCTGCTAAAACATACGGTTTGCAAGAGAAAAAGGAACAACATGCAAAATCAACTGAATGCTGCTCATTTTATATCTTGCAATAATTCCCGATTTTTCGATGCTATTGATCGCTTTTGCATAGCTTAACAATATATACTAATCGAAAAACTACACTGAAGCACAAAACGTTGAATTGCATATTGTGCGCACAAAATTTATTTCCTTGGATGCTCGTGCACTTTTAAAGTTAGAAATTTTTTTTTTTTTTTTTGAAGTTTCATGATGCAATCTAAAATCGCAAATTTATTTCTACTAAAAATTGGGGTTTTTGAAAATTTGAAACCTTTGATTGTTTTTATTTTTATTGCTATTGCTGCTGGCTTTTATTCTTTTCCAGGATGATCTTCACAAATACTAATCAGGGCTTCAAATGTTTTCGTTTGATGACTGCTTCGAACCATCGTATATGGTTGTTGGCTATTTTGCTAATCAACATAGTCTCAATGGAAATAGTTGCAGACTAACAACAGATGGATAACATCAAGATTTTGAGAAGACATCAAGCCCAGATTTTTTTTTTCTTTAAATTTTAAAAAATTTCTCAAAACAATGAATTTTTAATGAAAAGATTTTTATTTCTAATCAAAGATAAAAAATATTCAAAATTTAGAAAATATTCAAAATTCTAAGATTCCTAATCTAAAATAAAGTACTCATCCTCTTGGTAAAGTTTGATTTTTCCATTTTATTTTTTCAAATTTTAATTCAGTAATAAAATTTTAGCAAAAAAATTTTAATTTCCTAAATTTTAAGGAAATATGACATATTTCAGATATCGTGAACGACGAGATAAAAATAATTTAGCAGCAAAAAAATCTAGAAGTAATCGACGAGAAAGAGAGAAAATGATGCAACGTAAAGTTGATGAGTTGGAGAAGGAAAATGAAGCGTTACGCGCTCAATTGGCAATTTATACGCAACAGCTAGATTACGTAAGTTATCATTACAATATTAAGTTAATCTTGTCTGCACGATTACTACCACACATCATCTCTTTTTCATACAGTGATGACGTACAATATAACAACTGTTCAATGAACATAGAGAGATATTACCACATCATTATCATTAATCATTCATTTTTATTCCAGTGTTAATTTGATAGAAAAATCAGTTATCCTTTTTTTTTTACGAAAATAAATTTTAGGAAAAAATAAAGTTTCATAATTAAAATGGAATTTATAGGCTCGAAAAGAATATGAAAGACAATTATCATTATCTTATACTGCTCAACAACAAGGAATGCTACTCCGTGATAACCCTACAAATTTGGTACCAACAACACAATCAACACCCATACTATATCCCTCATTTTCTCAACAAACTGTTACCTGATCTACTAATTTGTACAACCGAACCAAAAATTTTTTAACTTTTGGACGTTAAGAATCAGAAAATTGGAAATTCAGAAATCACTTCAACGGTAGAAGAACGAAAAGTTGAAGAGAAGCGAATGATATCTTGATAATTGTCACTGATTTTCTGATAAATTGTTTACTTAAATTTGTAAATAAGCATTAAGCGTATAAAACACGTAGTGCTTAAAACTTCGAATTTGTTATTACTGATTCTAATCGTTGATTAAAATCAAACTTTTAAGACAGTTGACGAAAGTTTTTTCTAACCTAATTCTCCGTATTATTTGCATTTACTTGAAAAAATCTTGACTATTCACAGTTGATCGATCGCTTTCGAGGCTTTTTATTTCATTTCAAACAACATCAGAACAATTTTCAAAAGATAATAATTACAAATAATATAAGTGTATTATAAAAAGAAAGAACAAATTTTAGAACCAACAAAAATATATGCATGATTTCGATATTTCGTTATCGAAATTTGAATGAATTTAAAAACCAGTTATAGTTTAACACCAAAATGAAAAGCGTCGATCGAAATATGCCGTATTTTAAAAAATCATTTCAAAATTCAAAAAAGGTTAAAAATAAGATTTCTCATCTTAAAACTCTTCCACATCAATAGTATTTATTCAGTTTAGTCCCTTGTTAGTAATACTGAAATTACAGCTTATAGTTATTGCAAAGAGGCTTGAAATTAGTAGGAAGTCGCGATAAGCAACATTTTAAACATCATTTCAACTTTATGCTTTCTAACAATTTTCAAATAAGGTACTGAAGTGCCATACAAACACGAAATCTCATGAAGCTGAAAAGTGTTTGAATATCTACATTTCCTCCAATTTATTTACTGCTTTCGTAAGTTCATCAATATATTTGTCTTGGTTGACTTCATTAATATCGAAAACACTCCACTTAATTTTCTCTTCATTCTGTAATATAAATCAGTAAAGCATGTTACGAAAAACAAAATGCAGTTTCATATTTCTTGACGTCATGCGTTTTCCATTCAAAACTTTTATCTTCTACTTGTAATGAAGAATGACGCTGAGCAGAATAGTTTCAGATAAAAAATAATGTTAGAGCAAAAATTTGTATTGAAGTCTAACTCATCATCTTAGAATTGTCAAATAAACGCGTGTGGAAAATTAAAAACATTTAAATAATTACATTATAAAACTCCGATTTAGCTCGAATACGAAATGTATATTCACGAAAGCGGACTGCATTAAACACTTCATTATATTCATCAAGCTAAAAATTCATAATTTAAAATCACAGAATTCAAAGTCTCTACATTGATCGTTCAATGAACTTTTACTCTCCTTCAATTCCTCTCCTTCGTCATCCCTGTCGTCAACTACTTGCTACCCTTTTCCCCTTAAATTTCCATTGTGTAATTATTTACTAATATCGTCACTTGTTGTTACCTTCTATAAATTTTCAGAGACAACAATTAAAAACACAACTAATTATTAGTAAAAATGGGGGAGGAGAGGGAAGGGATCAAATCAGAAGTACACAAAGAAAAAATCAAAAGTATCAAATTAAACCAGATCATTGTCGAGTAATTGTCCAAGCTGCTCTGCATCATTTTTCAAAAGCTTGACGGCCTTATCTTCAAATACTGTTACCCAGTGAGATCCCGAAAAATCCGATATTTCCACCTAAAATGTTCTATATTAAAGATGATACTTCCTTATTAAATCAAGAAAATGAATGTGAAAAAACTTACCGTCATGAGGAGGACATATTTGTATTTATCCAGAGTAACATCGCATTTTTCACACCGATACTGATTATTGAGCTCAATTACTTTTTTTTTACATCCATTAGTACCGCAGCTCTGCAACCAACACTAATTTTAGAGTAAAATAAGAAAATTTGGACAACCTAATAAACTGAAATTTTTATGGACTTCCGAGAATAAATTTTAATTAAGAAAAAAATAGCTCTACCTTATAAAGAGCGCCATCAGCTTTCAACGATGAGATCATAGCTGTGATGTTGAAAAAAGTGCCTTTCTCTGAATCTCGTCCCAATGCACCAAGTTCAGATAAGCGAATAATTCGGAGATCTCGTGCTATACAATTTTAAAAATTTAATAGAGAATTCACAAATCTAGGACTAAATTCAATTGAAAAAAAAAATCACCATAACTGTCTGATGTAAGACCAGCCGTTGTCAAATTACGTGCCTGCACTGAGGGTCTTGTTTCTCGGTACCATCTATATAGACTTGTTGTTTCAGCACACTCCATATTCAGCTCTATTCGACTAGAATTTCCGGTACTCAGACTTAAACTTCCTGAAACCAGGATACTAAAAATACATGAGATTTCTCTTTATCGGTTATTATTTCTTGGAAGTTCCGAAAATTACTTACCGTTAAATTCTTTCACAAATGCTCCTTTGATACCAATCGTCTGACCCTCAATTTCTTTATCATATGTTCGAGCTTGCTCACCCCAGAATGTCAATGTAATTTCCGTCTCCGATGTATCAATCAGTATTATATCCCGTTTCTCCAATTGGGCTCCTGTATTTCGTGCTGTAACCTGAAAACTGATCAGATATCAAAAGCTTTGATCATTCCTCTTCCTTCTCTAGCAGAAACTACAAAACAAATATTTGACAGAAATAAATTATGAAATCGAAACTAAGATAGTACTTAATGATTTTTGAAAGAGGATTACATGTTATCCAAATATTTCCTGCAAAAACGAAACTTACTTGCATGATATCATTGACCTTTTCCGCTATGGCAATGACATCGATCGGTTCACCGATGTGATTAGCCACATTGCAAAGGCGAACAATGCTAAGTGAAAGCTTCGGTTGCTCAATTTTTTCACGATCCAAACACGGTAATACCTGAAACGTTATTGATGAAACAACTATTTGAAGCAAAATATGTAGGAAAAAAAGACGAAATAAGGTAAAAAGCACCAATTAATAGAGTAATCAAATAATGAATACCTCAGAGTCGTTTCTTATTGTGATTTCATAATCGTGTCCAGTCGTATTAAAACGCTTGTTTGCCTGCTTGACAGTACCACCGGATACATAGAACATCTTCATAAATATGCAAGCTAATAAAGTTTGTCAATTTCTAACAGTCAAAAAAAACATGAAATCAATGATGGCTTCAAACGATTCACATGCTTATACATAAGAAACAGTAACATAAAAAAATAACGCAGTGAATATAAATTACGCTTTGAATCAAGTAAGTAAATAATCATACCGATCCTTTCTGGATGATTGAATAAAATTTTTCAGCAACATCATCAAATGCGGCAATACGTATGCAGCCGCCCTCTTCATCCGTTAATTCAAAATTGAACACTTTCATATCTCTTCGAGCTGTTCTAATATTTCGTAGATCTTCCTTTGCAGTCACTACACCACAAATGCGCCATCTATAAGATAAGATATAAGAATCGGTAACAAGTATGTAATGATCAGATTGAAAACACTGTTTTTTTTTTTCACTAAATGCACTTTAATTGAGTACAGCATAAGGATAAATCAAACTTCAACTTGAAGATTTACTTATTGACGTAGGGAGTAATTAATTTAATCGGCGTCAAGTTCTGCCCCACTAAATTCGCCAGTCGACGCGACGATGAACGAACTAAAAAAAAGCTAATATATTAAGCGAAATTGATCGTCTTATTAATATATCATTCATTACGATGTTATCTCTATTCATTTATACTGCTTCACTTTCATATTTTCTTTATATTTCGGAAAAAGACATGCAACACACTTTTGGGTCAAGATAGCTAACCATCATGCATAACTGAAATAATAACTTTAAAATAATAGATCGTTTTAGGCATTTCATGGAAAACAGTTGAATACCTCTACTCTATTCGAAAAAGTCTTCGAGTGTTCTTTATAAAATGTTATGTATGGATCTCTTTACAACAACAACATTCAAACAGATATCATTATAATTAGTGGGAGCATATCTCGTTCAGCTGCTGCTTCAAAGACAAACCTTACACCTGGTTTGCACTGAGCTGCTTGCTCATAATTGGAATTTTCTTTTGATAAAAAGTATACGAAAAAAACATCAGTAATACAACTGATGTTTTTTTGTATACTTTTGAAATCAAAAGCTTTTAACGATTATCGAATATGAAAGTAAATGATGGTAAATGTAAATATCAATAATAGACTAACAATTCAGTTTATGTACACAGTAATATAAAGAAAGTAAAAGAAGGATATCATTTTATGACAAGAAAAGTTTAAATCTAATCAGCAATAAATTCGTTAAATGAGAACTAAAAGTCATTCCTGACCCAATAGTAATCACTCACAACTTCAAAAGTGATAATTAATTTTAATATACAAAGAGTTACTTCGCAATCCTATATCTTTATATTTGTAAATCCTATATTTATAATAAAAATTTCTTAAAGGAAAAAAAAAGAAAAAAAACACAAAGCAGTACCGGAGGCATTCTGTCCCACGCTTGAGCCACCTTTTTGAGGCGGTCGAGTATTATGCATATTGGCATTTGGATTTAATCCACGATAATCATTGGGATTTCCAGAATGATGCACTGGATTCCCAAAAACCGGTAAGTCGCGTCCCAAAATTTCATAATCCATGATTCTCAACAATGGTTTCTGAGCTGTCTTTCTTAAACAAAATTACAGCGTTGAAATATACAATCTCTAGAAAACTTTCTGAGAAAAAAAAATAAAGTATATCAGTTATTTGCGACTTGAATCAGCAAATTTGAATTTAAACTAAATTTGGCATATAATTAACACTCACATCGTGTATTTTATGCGTAATACCGGGTTGCCCTGATCAAGAGCATCTTTTTTGATTTTTTCCGTTATATCCGCTTGATTAAGGCATGCTAAAAATCAGTAAAATGAATTAATGATATGAACAACTTCATAAATTAAAACACAACTATCATTACTGCTTCTGGATTCAATGTCATCATTAATTGTGTAGTTTCATTAAGAATTTAATTGCAATTTAGATGAATGCAGTAGCAGTAATAATTAATCAACAAAAAAAATATGCACAATTATAGCTGAACATTCCATCAGATATTCGAAACCGAAAGTATTGTGCCTCTGAAGCTGGTTCCGTTTGACTGTTAACCAATGGTCTTGCCTCCTTAAAAAAGATTTTTCTTTTTAGTCCTATAAATTTCTTGACAACTGTACAGAAGTAAATGATGTTATTTCTGAAAAATTAAAAGTAAACTAGGAAAAAAAAAAACAAAATAACTCACCAAAATCTGAACTATCGGTCTCTCTTCTCCGTTGTTCGTTTCGCATATTTCCTGAATGAAACCACGACTAAGATCACCAATGCCTACCATTTTTTTCCTGAAATTAACTTCTACCATCATTCCTTATCATTTAAATATCACTCTCAATCTAATTTTAAATCCATCATAAACTCAAAGTAATGCGACAAACCCGCGCGGGCGGCCATTGACAGTTACAGCTTTATAATAAAAAGAGATCAAAGCATTGAGAGTTGAAGATAAAAATTGAGAAACAAAGAGTTTACATGGGTATAATACTTAATATATTTGTTATTAGTCACTTAATATGGAGACATTTGAAGTATACTACAGAGAAAAGAATTTTAATAGTATAAAAAAAAGAGGGAAAGAGAAAGAAAGAGAATAAGAGAAAGAGGGAGAGGGAGAGGAAGAGAAGGGACGCCATGCTATAAAATTAAAATTTAAAGTTGGATATTAATTGAACGAGTGGTAAAAAGCGGTTGATTATGGTAAGCTAATGATTTAAGGAGATAAGTTCAAAGTTACTGAGAATTCTTTTCTTGTGAAGTATGTTTTCTTTCTCGGTTTACTTACTTCAGAAGTCACCTCATTGTGTTATCGATCACATCGATTAGTTTCTACTCTTTACAACGTACAGCAACAACAACAAGAACAACACTGTCATTCATTCTCATTTATTTAATTTCGAATTATTTCACCTATAAATTGCAACAATGTTGAACAAAATGATGATCTTACTTGTATTAATTTATTTGGTGATTGCTGATGAAGACATTTCTGAACAATGCACTACACGAGGTAAGTTAAGCATTCAAATTTACAAAGCTATAATTTGACAAAGTTTACATTTAGATATATTTTTTTCAGTAAATTGCATTTTAATGAATTATTTGTTTAATTAGTTTTCTGTAACTATCATTCAACTCGGACATGATAGTTCATGGTAAATGGCGAAAAAGTTTGATTGTTACTTATTCGCTTACTCTATGCATAGTTATATTTTATATCCATTTATCATTGTTTAACATCTGTTCACTTTTAGAGCTTACATCATCGTATATAATTGTGCCGAAAAAAGTGTCCAGTTGGTCGAGTGCATCATCCATTCTGGATCTTTATCACTGTAATAGATTTCGTCGTCATGTGGCATACATGTTCATGGATGTCTATCTTCAAATTAATCTTACTAACGAACATGCTTATCAGCTTTATCAGGTAAGCACTTATTGTATGTCTCAATCTTTAAAATGAGTGCATTTAAAAGATAAACAATTATTTATGGAATTGAATATTGACCTTCGTATAATAGTTTCATAACTAGTTTTTCTGATATATTTTCCGCATTAAAATTAATCTTGTAGCTAAAGTAGCTCTGGAATTAATAACAGATTTTTTCATATCTAGAAGCATTCACGGTCATTTAATATAAACTGCAGGGTGAGAATTGTTCGGAGGTGTTGCAACATTATCACGATGATCAGCGTCTCTGGGGATTAGTAAGGCGTGTTACGTTATTGCGTTACAAGCAGTTAAGTCCATTTTCTAAAACTATTATTGGCGTAAGTACTCGACATCCGTATGAAATTCGAATACGCGTATGGAGTAAGTTTATTTAGATTATCTGTTTTCTGTTCAAGTTTTTAAATGTTATTGACACGTCTAGACACGTCTATTGATTACTGGAAACTTATTATAGATTCATAT